TTGTAAATTTTACATTGTTATTTTTTTGGGGTGTGGGTGGGGAGGGGAGTTCAAGAGGGTATCGTAGGAACCCCCAGAGTTTGGAGACGGTTTTGTGAAATTTAACTTGTTTGAAAAATATAACATTTATGAAAAATAAGATGTTAGTTATTAGAACGTCTGCTATCATGTTACTGACATCTTGGATATTGTGAATATCAGGTCCTTGCCTCCAAATCACCACATCTTCTAGACTTTCATGAGGATTTTGTTAGTTTGGAAGCTGCATCAAAGGTACTTGTCTGTTTTACCTACTATTGCGTTGCAATAATTTGATTAAAATGTTACTAAAAATCTTCTTTGCACAGATACAATTGAAGTTCTTAGCTGAAGAAATGCAAGCCATTGTCAAAGGTTTAGAGAAAGTAGAGTTGGAGTTGACTGCTTCTGAGAATGATGGCCCCGTGTCAGAAGTTTTTCGCAAGGTACAAACAATCAATTATCTTAGCTCTCTTTCCAGCATGTCTCCTTTTTCTGTTCTTTGTTTTTTTCTATCATTTTCAGAGGGTTTGTCCTTTGTAGCAATGAGACATGATGGATGTTCTTGTATGGATGTCGGACATGTTTTTGCACCGATATGTGCAAGATATACTTCTTATATATGTGTATGATAATAGATGCAACATGTCCATCCTTGAGCCAGCTTGGAGTAAGGCTTCAAGCAGGATAGTGTTTAGGTTTTGATCCTTAAGATTGGGATATTAGAATATGTATGAAGCTAAAACATTATGATTTGTTCTTAGAAACCTTGAGCCTGGAGGTTATTATGTCTTATCCTAGTTATGTACATAAATGTTTATTTGGGAAACTTCCCCATGACACCCCATACTTGGTGGCGTTTCCCGTAATGCCTTAAACTTTGTTTATTCCACTAAATTCCCTTAGTTTCCCACTAAACCGCCCTAAAATAACACATTCATCTCAGACGTGGCATGTGTCGAGCATGTGACCAACAATGATGAGAATGCCCTTCAGGTAAAACCCTTATTCCTTGTTAATCTAAATTTTTTGAAAAGACCTCGTCACCTTATCCAATTCACAAACACGTCCTTTCTCCTCTGTCCGCTCCCCTAGCTCTAACCATTCTTGCCAGTGGTAGGGGTCGCCAGAGGTGGCCTCTCTTTCTCTGTGTGATACGAATCGTCAAGCGAGCACCATTGATCGCGAAATTATTAAGAGTGAGTGGTGAAGAAGACAATAGAGGACTCACAAAGAATTGAATTGGGCGAAGAAAAATACCTTCTCTAGATTATAAAAAATCAAAGATTACAAAATCTCACTCTCACACACTAAAATAACGAACAAACTCTCTCTTCTCTCTAAACCCTAATCACTTGATTAGAATTTCTCTTCTCTCCTTTAGAAACCCTAAACAATCTGTATTTATAGAGTTTACAACGTGGATGGTAAACTTGTAAATAAACAAGCCCAAAAGGATCAGGAATCCCCGTCAAAACAGAATTCAAAACGAACCAGGAAAGCCTAGGAGCGCGATCCGATCGACCGGCATGCTTGGTTCGGTCGACCGGTCAGAGACAGGAAACTCATCCCTGTAGGCGTATCTGATTCCGGTCGATCGGCATTGGTTGTCCAGTCGATCAGCCAAAGGCTGCTTCACAGCTTCCTTTTTCTGCTGTTTTGCCGCTTTTGATCGCCTTTGCTGCCTTCAACGACTTCATCCACGCCTCTATTCTTAAGATATCATGAGAATCTTCTATCCTCAAGCTTCCATGAGGATCGCTAAACTCCCAAAGTAGAGAAGAAGATACACCCGTATCATGGCTCCCCTCTTTAGGAACTTGAAGTCCCGTTCAAGTTAGAACTTCAGCTGAGGAAACTCTCGAGCTCCTTCATCTTTTCTGAACTACCTGCCTTTGCTAGGAACCTGGTCTTGATGTCCGATCGGAAACGACTCCTTCGTCCCGCGTCTCGTCAGTCACCTTCCGCTCCAATTTGTAACCCCCTTTCAGTGGCTCATAGGAACTAATGCATAGCGAGACAAACTTCTTGCTTGCATTCACTAGCCTTTTCGCTCGGTTCAACGTCACTAAGTTTGTCTCCTTCGGAAGAGACGCCGAGCGAAGTATGAACTTTTCATTGTCTTTGGTGAAAGTGTACTTCTGAGCCCGTCTCTCGTAGATGGCGTATCTATCCCACAAATAGGGATTGCCTAGTATAACCTGACAAACATCCAATGGAGCTACGTCGCACGTGACTTCGTTAATATATAACTCGTGTAGCGCAAATCTGAAAGTACATTGATCAACTACACTCAGTCCCATCTCCTTCTGAATCCACCCCAATGGATATGGGTTTGGATGCTTGACCGTCTTCAGACCCAGCTTCTGAACTAAGGTTTCGGATATCAAATTCTTCTCACTGCCTGGATCAACTATGACATCTACCAAACTGGTTTTCACTTGCAACTTAAGAACAAAGAGCTGCTCTTTGGGGTCGTCCTCCTCTTTCGTGGCCTGTTTCCCTGTCATAAGGTTGAGACTGCTATTGGGTTCTGTCATCCCGAGACTTCTTTCGGAACTTGAGCTATCATGTATGTCTTTTTCTTCTCCTTCTTCTTCAATCCTCTTGGTTTGAGATGATGATACTTCTCCTAGCACCGATCAGCTACGTGTCCTGTCTTCTCGCAATGACTACAAATCAACCCTGTTTTTCCTGGATTATCCTTCTTCTTCTCCTCCTTAGATTGAGAATCACCAGACTCGCCTCCAGCTTGTTTAGTCTCTCCTTGGGATTCATTGCTCTTCTTTTGCTTTCCCTCAATGGCAAAAGCCTTCACGCTCGCTTTTGTAATCGACTCGATCGTGAATAACTTCATCTCTTTTCGGATGTAATCGTTCAATCCCGTCATATACTTCATAAAGACAGAATACTCCTCTGTCGCAATGTTGAGGACCATCGCTTGTTGCTGAAACTCAGTCGTGTATTCTTGAACGGTTTGATTGACCCTTTGGCGCAATCCGTACCACTTGTACCAACGTTCCTCAAGGAATCCCACCAGGTAGAATTGTTTCCTCAGTAGCCTTTTGAACTTGTTATACGATACCACCTTCATCTCCTGCTTACAGTAGGATATTCACCATGTCAATGCATGTCCTGAAAGCTTCAAAGTCGCAAACACAATCTTCTCCTTGGACGAATATCCATAGAGGGTAAAGTACATCTTCATCTGCTCAATCCAATCATCAAGCTTCTCGACGTTAACACTCCCATCATAAACAGAAATCTTCACATTGAAATATATTTTTAAATTCGGGTAAAATCCCTTACCCCATTGATGCTGAACAGTCTTGACGGCCTTGACCCCCTCGTCTGAATCTGAATTCTCGCTCTCTATCGGACTCCGGACTCCATATGTTTCTTCTTAGGTTTTGACGAAGATTCCCCTTCTTTGTCCTTCCCATGGATGAGGCCTACGAGTTGTGTGAGCGTCGATCCTATCGTCTCGATCTGCTTCTCCAATGCATCAAGTCTTACTGAATTATCCCCTTTAGTCATCTTCTTCTTCCTTAATTTCTGAACTCCCTCTAATGAAATAAGGATCTCGCCTAGTTTTTTGTATTACGATCGAATAAAGACCATACACAGGATTCCCCCTCCACAGGATCTGGTCGTTCTGATACCAACCTGATACGAGTCTCTGAGCAAGTACCATTGATAGCGGAATTATCAAGAGTGGGTTGTGAAGAAGACAATAGAGAACTCACAAAGAATTGAATTGGGCGAAGAAAAATACTTTCTCTAGATTATGAAGAATCAAAGATTACAAAATCTCACTCACAATCTCACTAGAATAAAGAACAAACTCTCTATTCTCTCTAAACCCTAATCACTTGATTAGAATTTCTCCTCTCCTTTAAAAACCCTAAACAATCTTTATTTATAGAGTTTACAACGTGGATGACAAACTTATAAATAAACAAGCCCAAAAGGATCAGGAATCCCCGTCAAAACACAATCCAAAACGAATCAGGAAAGCCCAAGAACGCGATCCAGTCGACTGACATGCTTGGTTTGGTCGATCGGCCAGGGACATGAAACTCAGCCCTTTAGGTGTATTTGATTCCGGTCGATCGGCCAGAGGCTGCTTCTCAGCTTCCTTTTTCCTGCTGTTTTGCCGCTTTTGACCGCCTTTGCTACTTTCGACGACTTCATCCACGCCTCTATTATTAAGATACCATGAGAATCTTCTATCCTCAAGCTTCCATGAGGATCGCTAAGCTTCCGAAGTAGAGAAGAAGATACACCCGTATCACTGTGTGTGTTTGTTAGCAGGGGTCGCCAGAGGTTGCGCCTCTCTTCTCTCTCTCTTTCCCCCATCCTACGGGCGCACTGCCCTCCTTGCTCTCTCCTCCCCCTCTACCCTCCTCTCTCGTTCTCTCTTTTCTCCCTCTGCCCTTCTCTCTCTCACCCTTCACCCTATTCTAACTAGACGTGTTAGTGATCCCCGTGGTTGGCTGTAGGGTCCATGTTGGTGACCCCTCTCTCCCCTTTCCTCTTAAGCCAAAATCTAAACCGACTTGACACCAACATCGTCTTCCCTTCGCCCCCATCTATCTAAGTCACCCGTGGCTGGTTGTAGGATCCATGGTGGTGACCTCTCTCCCCCTTCCCCCTTCCCCCTCCTCTTAAGCCAAAACCTAACCTGACCTGTCACCATCATCGGCCTCCCTTCTCCACTATCTATCTAATTCTCGTAAAGGTTAGGTTTGGGTGATTTGATTAATGATTAATTTAATTTAATGATTAATGTTTAATTTTTAGGGGTCCATTGAGAAAACTTGATTAATTATGTTTAATCAATGTTTAATTTAATAATTAATGTTTACTTTAACAAACTTACTCTGTATACATTGGATTTAGGGCATGCTAAGACTATCCTACTACATACTAACAAAGTTTTCTGAAGAGATGAACTTTCATGCTTCCTCATATATTTCTAAGTTAAAGTATTTACTATATACTAGTGATGTAGAGCACTAACATCTCTGATGATATTAATTTAACATTCCTTGTTAAAAAAGTTGGTTCGTGTGTCAGTGGCATGTTTTTCATTGTTCCCTGTGTCAAAGGGGTGGCTTTCTTTTACACGGTTGTATCAGTTGTTTATAGTAGTAACTTAGTGTTTTTCTCAAACCTTTGAATCCAATCATTCGCCATTCTGACAAAGATTCTTTATAGACTTTGAGGGAGTTCACTGCGACTGCTGGAGCCGATGTACGATCACTGACATCACTTTATACTGCTGTGGTATGCCACCAAGTACTAACTTATCAACAAAGTTGCTGGAAATCTGATGACTGACTTTACAAATTTTCTTTTAATATTTTAAATTATATGTATGCCTTACCAGTTGGTCTGATATCAGGGTAGGAATGCTGACGCTCTTGCTCTATATTTTGGTGAAGATCCAGCACGTTGCCCTTTTGAACAAGGTATTGTAACCAACATGTCTTGCTCCAAAAACCGCATCATCTATAGTTAAGATAAAACTAGTGTACTTGCTATTACTAGCCCATTGAGAGTCCTGTGAATTGTAGTAGGTTGAATGATATATAAACTATTCCCCGTTACACTCATTATATGAAGGTTTAAACCGAAGCTTGATATCATATCAAATTTTAAGCATGTGAATTTATGCAGTGGAAATTGACTGAGATAGTTCAATGTTGGCTAATAACTAATATAAGCTGGTGCTCGCTACTATGGAATCGAGTATTAACGATCATATCCTTTGGAGGATGGAAGGAATATCGGAGTGAAGCAATGCATTCAAGTCAAATATCCAAGTTCAAGCTTCATCCGCAAAGTTTACCAAGAAGAGCATATTGAATATTAATCAAGCTTGGGTAAATAGACTAGGTGTTATATTATGTGTGTTAAATACTTCAAGCTCAATCATACACACACATACACGTTTTGTATATATATATATATATATATATATGTGAGATTAATGGGTATCCTTGTCATAGGAGGGGATTTCCTCCTTGACGCCTCTAAAATCACATGATTAAGCGACATTGTGGATGATCCGCTCTGTTGAACTTGATCTACATATTCTAAAACCCCAACACACCAAGTTTGGGGTGAATCCGTCGTCGTTTGACCCTCCATCGAGCCATGTGAAAAGTTCTATCTATTCAAAACCGTTAAAATTGATACGAGTGGATGAAGGGTCAAACGATGACGGGTTCACCCCAAACTTGGTGTGTTGGGGTTTCAGAATATGTAGATCAAGTTCAACGGAGCGGATCATCCACAATGTCGCTCAATCATGTGATTTTAGAGGCGTTAAGGAGGAAATCCCCTCCTATGACAAGGATACCCATTAATATCTCTCTCTCTCTCTCTATATATATATATATATATACACACCCAAATCTGAGTCTATCTCTAACCGATCCTAATATTTTAGAAGCGATGAGCCTTAATATTAAGACTCATGGATATGAATTCTTACCTGGATCAGAAACAATTGCGATTATATACTGCATCCATTACAAAGCTTTGACCACGTTAGCACTAAAAGCTAAAGTGCATACAAAGCCTGGAAAGACAGTGTTAGTAGAGAGTCTAGAGACTAATTTGCTTTCGTTCCATATCGCTGTAAACAGATAAATTAAATGGACATAAATAAACTTTTCTGAGAGTTGGGTTTTACCCAACTCTATTCAACCTCAGCCAATTGTAAATCAAGAAATTGATCAAATTATTCAGACGACTGATGTTGAAGTTGAAGTAGTCTTCAACCATTCTAGGACAATTAAATTGTCTGATATTACTAGTTCATCTAGGAGATCCATCTCTAGATCTGATTCTTATAGAATTAACGAGGTAAGAGGAATTAATATATCCCAAAATAATATATCTCATCCAATCTATAAAGAGAAAGAAAAATTTTCTCTCACAAGCTTTGAAATGAGCTTCCAAATGTAATAACTGTTTTTATGGATTTTACACTCAACGGTAAATTATGAGGATTTCTTAATATAGAATTCCAATGTAAAAGTAATGAATCATTCAGAGAATTGTTCTTTAAAAGTTTCTCTAATAGAGAACAACAAATGTTTAAATCAAGCTATTATAAAACACTTGATAAAAATTAGAAGATAGAATTCTTCGTTCCTTGGTTCTTGAAAATTTATATTCAAAAGGAAGAAAAGAGAATTGGAGTACTTGAAGAACATTATAAACAATGGAAATCGGGTACTGGTGTATCAATCAAATCTCTTTATCCTCCAACAGAACTATTAAGACTTAATGGAGTTTCAACATCAACTCTAGAAGCAACAACTTTTGTAAAGCCCACTGAATCCAGCGATGAAACTTTGTAAGAGCATAATAAGCTAATCAAACAGAGTAATTACTCAAACATACATCTTCAAGTAGTTGGCCAGCAACTTACTAAGATAGAAGATGTAGTTGATAGACTTGTTCAAAAATTGAACACCATCATTCCCTCTTTAATAAGATCAGAAAGTGTTAAGGCTCCTGTTATACATATAGAAAAAGCCACAATTAAGCCACCTATAGATATATCTGGATTCAATACAAGTGATAAAGTAACTTCAGAAGTTATTGAAGTTTTATAAAAAAAAGCTAAGTACTTCTAAATGACTTACACTTGATGGTGAACAATCAACTTTGTCAGTCATTAATACTGACACTGAAATATCTGACGATGATAATAATTTAGATCAGCTATTGAAAGTAGAAAATCAATTCTCTACTGTGAATAAAATCACAACACGTCCTAAACAATTAGAGCATTACTATTATAAGAGACCTACTCTTGTTGATGTACTATTCGAGGAGAATGATACATACATACAAGCTGATTATAACGGTAGAAATATTTATGAATGGAATATTGGCGGTTTATCCAACAATCAAATATATTTCACTATGCATCGTATCTTGATGTATTCCACTGTCTGTAGACAGAATGATAATTTCGATAAGCTTATAGCTTCCTACATTACTTGTGGTTTTACTGGCATATTAAAGGGCTCGTGGGATAACTACCTCACACTTGAATCAAGAGGTGAAATATTAAATGTCGTATAACAAGAAAATGGACAACAAAGTGAAGATGTTGTGTATACATTAATATTAGCTATAACAAATCACTTCACTGGTGCGTTCATAGACCAATGTGAAAGAATTAGGACATTATTACAGAACCTTAAATGTCCTTTGACCCATTTTAGATGATACAAAGACACATTCTTCAGTAGAGTAATGAATCTCCACGATGCTAATAGCACCCATTGGAAGTCCAGATTCATTGATGGACTACCAAATCTGTTTGCTGAAAGAGTTCGAAATAAACTCAAAGGAAATCATGGTGGATTCATTCGCTATGACTCATTTTCCTATGGAACTCTTATCAACGTCTGTATCAAAGAAGGCTTAACTTTATTAATGATATAAAATTTAAAAATCAACTTAAGTCTCATAGACTTACAAAGAAGAAAGAATTAGGTGAATTCTGTCAGCAATTTACCTTTGATCAGCCCTATAAGACTGATAAAGGAAAACAAGTCAAAAGAGAAATTAATGACAGAAAGAAATATTCTTTCAAAAAGAAAATAAAAAAATTCTTTAAAAGAAAGAACAAAGACGATCGTCGTAGAAATCCTAAAGATGATATCAGTAACATTAAATGTTACAAATGCGATAAGACTGGTCATTATGTCAATAAATGTTATATAAAGAAAAAAATTAATGAAATTGAGGACGAATGTCTAAAAAAGACTTTGTATAAAGACCTTGATATAGTACCCAAATTTGGTACTGTATCAATGGCCTACCAAGTAAACATCTTTTTATCATCTTTGCTCCACTTGTTGATCATTATTATAAATGGCCTACAAAGTAAACATCTTCTTATTATCTTTGCTCCACTTGTTGATAAAGACCTTGATATAGTACCCAAATTTGATACTATATCAATGGCCTATCAAGTAAACATCTTATTATCATATTTGCTCCACTTGTTGATTATTATTATAAATGGCCCACCAAATAAACATCTTCTTATCATCTTTGCTCCACTTGTTGATCATTATTATAAATGGCCTACCAAGTAAACATCTTCTTATCATCTTTGCTCCACTTGTTGATCATTATTTTATACAAAGTCTTTTTTAGACATTCGTCCTTAATTTCATTAATCTTTTTCTTTGTATAACATTTACTGATATAATGACCAATCTTACCGCATTTGTAACATTTAATGTTACTGATACCTATTTTAGGATATCTACGACGATCGTCTCTGTTCTTTCTTTTAAATTTTTTTTCATGTTCTTTTTGAAGGAATGTTTTTTTCTGTCATCAGATTCTCTTTTGTCTTGTTTTCCTTTATCAGTCTTATAGGGCTGATCAAAGGCAAATTGCTGACAGAATTCACCTAATTCTTTCTTCTTTGTAAGTCTATGAGACTTAAGTTAATTTTTAAACTTGATATCATTAATAAAGTTAAGCCTTCTTTGATACAGGCGTTGATAAGAGTTCCATAGGAAAATGAGTCATAGAGAATGAATCCACCATGATTTCCTTTGAGTTTATTTCGAACTCTTTCAGCAAACAGATTTGGTAGTCCATCAATGAATCTGGACTTCCAATGGGTGCTATTAGCATCGTGGAGATTCATTACTCTACTGAAGAATGTGTCTTTGTACCATCTAAAATGGGTCAAAGAAGGACATTTAAGGTTCTGTAATAATGTCCTAATTCTTTCACATTGTTCTATGAACGCACCAGTGAAGTGATTTGTTATAGCTAATATTAATGTATACACAATATCTTCACTTTGTTCTCCTTTTTTTGTTATACGACATTTAATATTTCATCTCTTGATTCAAGTGTGAGGTAGTTATCCCTCCAGTCCTTTAATATGCTAGTAAAACCATAAGTAATGTAGGAAGCTATAAGCTTATCGAAATTACCATTCTGTCTACAGATAGTGGAATACATAAAGATACGATGCATAGTAGAATATATTTGATTGTCGGATAAACCGTCAATATTCCATTCATAAATGTTTCTGTCGTTGTAACCGGCTTGTATGTATGTATTATTCTCCTTGAATAGTATATCAACAGGAGTAGGTCTCTTATAATAGTAACGTTCTAATTGTTTAGGGCGTGTTGTGATTTTATTCACAGTAGAGAATTGATTTTTCACTTCCAATATCTGATCTAAATTATTATCATCGTCAGATATTTCAGTGTCAGTATTAATGACTGACGAAGTTGATTGTTCACCATCAAGTGTAAGTAATTTAGAAGTGCTTAGCTTTTTTGATAAAACTTCAATAACTTCTGAAGTTACTTTATCACTTGTATTGAATCCAGATATATCTAGAGGTGGCTTAATTGTGGCTTTTTCTGTATGTATAACATGAGCCTTAACACTTTGATCTTAT